AAAAAAATTCAGAGAGGAAACCCCAGATGAATCTAGAAAAACTTAGGCATACAACCTAAACACCGAATGATTAATTTTATACACGTGTCTGCTAGTTTATGAGTAGCCCATACCCCGTCGAAAGCACTCCGACAAGGGCGCACAGCAACCAATGCATCACCAAACTGTATGCATTTGTAGCCATGAAAATAAATCACAATATTTTTGATGATCCTGACCGACAGTTTGATAAATAGCGGATATTACCATGGCCAACCTCAATGTCCAGGCTCGTCTGTTTCACAAAATTATTAACGCTTTTATATCATTTTTAGTTTATCCCCCTCCCACCCCCCCCATATGAGCCAAAGTCTTCCGACTGGATGCAAATACTCCAATACTTAAGTTCATCCGTTATGCGTCTGTCGTGCGATGTGACTTGCCCGTTGTGGTTATTTTTTCTTGCGAGACTGATAATACGTCATGCATCCTGAGCGTCCTCTTATTTCTTCATTTCGCACCTTGTCCCTGAGAAAAATTCCTTGTAATCCTTGTTTCCGTAGCTCGCACCTGCAAGCTTAGCAGTTTTTCGTTGATGTCCAACTTTTGCAATCAAATAATACAGTTGGCGATACTGTGCGCACATACAATGTCGTTCTAACCACAACCAGACAGCTTTGTCTTAAACAACGTTCTTCGCGAGGAGCGACGCGTTCTAGCCAGCTCTGGACTAAAGTAGTTGTTCGAAGTAGTATACTCGCGCTGACTTCTTCTGCTTGGTAATCATTCATGTTCAATGCAGCTCGTAGTGCCAATTCGTTTCTCTTTCTCTCCGTTTTCAAAGTCCAACTTACTAGAGCTTAACTCTAGCTCCCATTGCTTGGTTTCAACTTCTTTAGCCTTCGACTCCAACAGTACGATGTCTTCAATCAATGGAAAATCAGTTAGCCATCAACCATTGGTCGAAAGTCCTCTATTCAATTTCATTTTACGGAACAATGGCTCAAGAAATGCGATGTGTTAAATACCTGTGTCCATTTGACGAACTCCATCAGAAAGCTTGATTCAACTGCATATTCAAATAAGTCGTCATGCTGCAGCTTAAGTACAGTTCATGTCAAATTCGTATGTGTTCTTCCTCTTTATTTCCCTACAGGATTGCTCATGTTTAAAACCACAATACCAACACAAGTACTAATCTACTTTAGTGTACAAAAACACAACTAGTAAGTATTTATACTTTAAACATTTGCGTAATACTTCACGTCATGTACTCAGCCTAAGCATATACATAACATCTTCGATGCAATCACATTACATGAACTGACTATGCAAACGTCAATACATGGACATATACATTTTTTGTATAATTCAAAAATTAAAAGGATCCGGATGTGTTCATTGAACGAACTTCTAGCGCGTAATCAGCAGCTTCCAGGAGATTTAGACCGATTCCGGTCGAAAGACAGTTCAATGGTATTAACCTTGTGTTAAAGCAATAAAAGTCTCAACTGGCTGTGAAGAAATCGATAAAATAATGATTGTGGCGCACTTTAGCACACAATCGTAAATCTTGTAAAAGAAACACTTAGTTCGCTCGTGCAGCCATTAACGAAGGAACGGACTGGGTATACTCACTGAACACTGATAGAACAGATTAAAGAATCTGTCGATCCAAACACTGAAACAAATGTTTCCACTCAAAGCGCTCTAGGAAAAAATGATCTCACAGAACTTAACAAAAACCATGTGATATTCGTGATGAGTCAAAAAGAATGACTGGGTCACTTGTTACCAATTCCTGAAGCTTCTACCAGTTCTTTAAATAAACTTCAGTTGTAGTCTAGGAATGAAAAGCACAACCGTTCAACTTCAAACTTTCAGCTCCTCCGTTCGCCCAAAAACTCATTATCAGCGTTCATTTCCGTTTTGGCGTGTGAATAGACAAACAAGGTACGGGTAGGTGGCTGAAAAGTGGAGAGGTGATTAAATGAACTAATACGAAGCATATTTACTACTTTGAAATAGAACCGATGAAGTCTGAACAAGGTAATTAGACCCTGTACTTCGTTTCCGTTTTAAGCAAAAATATGCAGGTATCTCTCAATAAATTACTCTGTGTTTACAATATCTTACTGTACAACCCACTCGTTGTCTATAATTTCTCCCTGTGACTCTTCCAGACTTCTATTCGAAGATTTTGACTTTACAACCAATCTTTGTTG